AAGAAAATCCTATAAACACACATCTGCTCAGGACCCTCCATTGCTCAAACTCTCCTATGGCTCCCCAGTACAAAGCCACGCTCTGGGACCTCTCCTCCTCCCGCATCTCCCAGGCTTTGTGCAGGGCTGTTCCCACCACCTGGAGTTCCCCGTGATGATTGATACCCCTCTCTGCAGGAGTGCTGGGCCTCCTAGAGAGGGCCCCAGTCCCCTGTGCACCCCGGCTGGCAGGCCAGGTCACTAGCTCTCCTGCTGTCTCATCCCTCTCCTCCTGCCCTCCTCCTTTCCTCCCAGCTACTGAGCGCAGCACAGTGTGTGGCCCTGGTGGCTGTACTGACAAAAATCCGGACAGAACACCGGGTGGCCCCTGCTGCACCATGTTCCAGGCTGTTCCGACACTGTGGCTTTAGACGTGGACCGGGTCCCCTTCCCAGGAATCTGCCACCTGCACAAGTCTTGGTGCGGCAGCCCACTGCTGCTGCGTCCTCCGACAGTGAGGGCTGACCAGAGGCTGGGGCARCACCTGGGCTGGGGCACGGGCGTCCGGGCCCCCTGACCTGATTCCCAGTGACCGTCCAGCATGGCTGCTCCGGGGCACTTAGGCGTCTTTCTCACACCCCAGCAAAGGGCTCTCGAGGTGTGGCTGGGAGGACACAGGGCTTTACTTCATGGTCACCTGTTGGCCCGCATGCTCTCCAGGGGAGAGGACACCATGGAGGAGGCTCTGGGTCACATCATAAACCATGCGGTTGGGACATACACGTTGTCACCACCCTCAGAACCCAACAAGATGGGCTGGGGTGTGGCTCATGGGTAGAGCACTCGTATGGCACACATGAGGCACTGGGTTCAATCCTCAGCACCACATAAAAATGAAATAAAGATACTGTGTCCACCTACAACCAAAATAAATAATAAAAAACAAACCCACAAACCCAACAAGAGCCTGTGCATCCTGTCATCCCAGCCACTCAGGAGGCCAAGGCAGGAGGACTACAAGTTCAAGGCTGGCCTCAGCAACTTAGTGAGACCCTGACTTAAAAGTAAAAATTAAGAACAACAAAAAAAGAGCTGAGAAGTAGCAGAGTCAAAACACCCCAGGTTCAATCCCTACTGCCCAACCAAACAAAATAACAAACAAACAAACCCCAATCTGGCAGAGCCGGCATGGAGCTGCACCCCTGAGATGTTCCAGGAGTGTCCAAGAGCCCCGCGTGCTTCTTAACAACCTGGTGCCTTCCCCACGGGGACGGGGAGACCGAGGCACCGAGGAGAGCAACTAGCTCAAGCGCAGCGGGAGGCTGCAGAGCCRGACTCCCCTGGTCTGTAGCTCCGGGGTGTGCACAGTTCAGCCCCTCTTAGGGCCCAAGGTGTGGACACTCCCTCATTTTAGGAGCTGCTTTGGGGCAGCTGGGTGCAGTCTACCATGGAARAGCAGACAGTGGCAGAGCCCTCTCAGCACCCAGGACAGCACCCAGCGCTTCTCAGGAGCTTGTCAATGACAATAATAGTCCAGGGTGCACCCTGCCTGGAGTCTGAGGAGACATTCCTGCTGCTTGGGAGTGTCTGGGAGTCAGGTGGGAGGTGCTCAGGGAACTTCCACGCCTCGCCCTCCTTCTAACACCCACGGTGACAGCCAGAAATGTTCCCGCACTCGCTCTGGGTTAGGTCCTGGTCATGACTCACTTCATGTCATCTAACAAATTCTACGCACTTGTTTTTATAAATAAAGTTTTATTGGAACACAGCCAACCTCATTTTTTGCATATGTGGATGCTTCCAGGGACAGTGGCAGAGTGACAAGTTTGGCAAAGCTGAATAGCACCTTTTCAGAAGACATTTGCCCATCCCTGCGCTAGAGGTAGTGACACCGGATCCCAGTTTGCAGAAGAGGAGGGGTAGGCTCCAGGAGGGCACAGCTCTGCTCAGGTCCAGGGAAGAAGCCTGTGGACTGGTGCCCATTCCATTTCATTTTGACGTGTTTCTTTTCCTTTCCTTTTCTTCTTCTTTCTTTCCTTCCTTCTTTCTTTCCTCCTCCTGCTCTTCCTCTTCCTGCTCTTCCTCCTCCTCCTCTTCCTCCTCCTGCTCTTCCTCCTCCTCCTCTTCYTCCTCCTGCTCCTCCTCCTTCTCCTCTTCCTCCTCCTGCTCTTCTTCCTCCTCCTAGGTATGAAGAATGGAACTCAGGGTAGCTCTATCACTGAGCTACATCCCCAGTTCTTTTTATTTGTTTTTGTATTTTGAGACAGAGTCTCACTAAATTACTGAAGCTGACCTTGAACTTGTGATCCTCCTGCCTCAGCCTCCCACATCATGGGGATTACAGGAGTGGCCACTGAGCCTGGTCCTATTTGTCTTTTAGTGACTGGCTTATCTCACTCAACACTTCTCCAAGATGAACCATGTTATAGCACGTGTCAGAATGTCCTTATCAGGCTGGGAATATTCCTTCGMATGTAGAGACCATATTTGTTTATCAGGGACACCTGGGCTCCTGCATCGCGCCCTTCACTGCCTGTCATGGGCTGGTTTCACCTACACTTCAAGAAACTGTCATTCAAGAACAATGGAAAGATGTAGATGATCAGATAGAATCACCCACCACTCTGCCTGGCAGAGAGCGGCACAGAGCACTGTGGAGGCTTTTCTTGTTGCACCAACAATATACAGTGCTCCTGTAACTCAGCCTCCTGCAGCTTGCTCAGAGCTTGCCCTGGGGGTAAATGAAGGAACTCAGGGGCACAACCAGATGAGCTGGGGGTAGTCGGTCCAGAAACACATATAGATGAGTGCCATTTTGCTTTTGGTGTCAGGTGGTCTATGAGGACAGGTACCTGTCTATCTTGCTGCTGAATGCTGTGCCTAGCTTAGTGACTGCACTCAGTAGGCGCTGAACGATCTGAACGATTGTTGGAAGTAGTGATTGAGCGCTGGTCCATTGCTGATTTTATTTGATTCTAGTTTCTTGCAATGAGGCAGAGGCAAGGCTGTGAGGTAGCTTTTCCTAGGTCTGTTTCTTTCTGAATGACTGACCACACCTTAGCATAAATCCCTACAGGGACTGGCTGGGTCAGACTTGTGCTGGATGGGCTTGGCTCAGAAGGCTGGTCAGCCTGAGGGGAAGCTGTAATTGACACTCCCACCCACAGGAGTGCTCCGCACCTGCCTACACTGGGTATTACCCTTTGTTTTTGTTTTTGTATTGGGGATTGAACCTAGAGGTGCTCTACCACTGAGCCACATCCGC